GGAGATGGCAGCCACGCAAACACATGCGCAGGTAGTTTTACAGAGAATCAGAGGACATTGTCCACCTCCTGTGTGTACTCTTGGAGGCTATAGCATGTTACAATGCACTCCAACACACACACTAAAATTCACTAGAATGACTGCACATTCCTGTATCATCTGGAGTCTCCCAGCCTTCTTGCCATTTTAACTGGACAGAGGTCTGTTGTATTTTTGGGTTTGGTTTTGGTTTTTTAAAGTAGAGGAAAAAACAACAATGTGAAGAATGCTTCTCCCAGATCACACCTCAGTAAAGCTGTTCTTCTGCAGTTTGATGTGAAAGTGTGGAGTGCAACAGCCACCTATGTTTGTAACCTTTCTTTAAGGTATTATTACTAAAATAAAATATGGAAGGAGATGTTTTTGAAGGTGGGTTGGATTCAACTTCCTTGAACACTTGCACTAAGATTAGCTTTGGTTGATGACATTCATCTCTAGAATCAAATCTAATGAATAAATAAAATAGCTGCCCTGTATAAAAGGCTTGATAAGCCATTCATCAAAATATGATATATACACATTTTATTGTCAGATACACCCACATAAGTACAGAAAAAAAAATCTGTTTCAGTGAGACTATTCATATTATCCAATCTGGACACCTGAATGCAACAAGTTAAGAAAATTAATTCAGGTAAGTACAAAAGCTGTGGCTGGTTCATTTTATCACCTTCCAGGAGAACTTATTCTAGCCTGACAATGAAACAGATAAAACCAAGATGTATTCTACAGTAAACTGTGTAAAGAGCAAGATCTTCAGCCAGAAGATTCTGGAAATCAGGCTAAAATGACATTGCTCAAAGTTAGAAAACAGAACTTCAGCTAGCAAAAAAAAGCAGAAAAAATAGCTCAGCTCCTCTGACTTTAGGGAAGACATCCCAAATACCATCAGATGGGAATTAGGCATTTTCATTAAGAAAGCTTTAGTTTGCAAGCTACCATCGGTAAATTTGGTACTATTAGATATGATACACATCTTCTTAAAGACTATAACAAAAAAACCAACCAAAATAGAATTTTAACAAAGGGCATCCCTCCAGGTAAGTGTCAAAGCATAATTGAGACTCTGTTCTACCAGCTCGGTTAAAAAAGGTGAAAAAATGTTGAATGTAGCAAAAATGTAGTCTTTGGCACACTGCTGCAGAAATGGATGAACTACCAGAGGTACAAGCCCATAGAGTGGTATAATTACTTCCTCTATAACTTTCCTCTCTTCTGATTATGTATATATATTTTAAAGGTCCTCCATCCCTCAAAAGGGCATGCGAGGAGGGGGACCAGCTCTACAGTTGCTGGTAAGAAATCCTAATTTCAGCACTGGTGTAAGCTGAATGTATCTATACATTTGAGCACTTCCTGTTTTCACTTTGTGATCAAATATGTTCTTTGCAGGGCAAATAGGGGAGCACTTGAGGGAGGAAAGCAGTGATGTCTGAGAGGCTAATTGAGTGTACTAAGAACTCCTTAGCATAGAGGAAAAGGAGTCTTCCAAAGCTATGAATAAACTCTCAGCTTGGGTCAGATTTCTTGCTGTTTCTTTTCTTTAACCACCTTTGAACTCGACTAAAAACAGTCTTAATGTCAGGTTTACCTTTCTGATGTCATAATCTTTATGTACTATTGAAAAGATTATACTACCAGACTAGGATTTCCTCTACTTTCTTAAACACTGGATATTATCCAGAAAAAGCATACACATTTCCAACCAATTCATCCTCAGATCTTTTATCTTCCGGTAGTGTTGTAATTCCACATGTAAGACAGAGCTCAGTAAGTGAACAAGAACATGACAGAAGCTCTTACTCTTTGCATTTGACTTCCATCAATAAAAACATGCATGTGTATCCTATTTCAAATATAATTAAAGTTACTACAAAATGGAAGCTGTGATAGGGGTTAGAAATTGTTTTGAAAGACACAGCCTGTCAGACACATTCATTCTACATCAGAGTTCAAGTGCCTGTCTCTTCAAAAAAGCCACTTAGGCCATTCAATTTTTAAAATTGGCTGCCTTAGGAGTTTGCAAACTGATTGAATACAGGAAAAAAATAGCATTTTATTTAAAATCATAAGTAAATACAATTGGTCACATCTGAGTTACTCTCTTGGAATTTGACAGTCTAAAGGGCTTCTACATTTAATCCATGCCAGAAGAGATGGACTGCCACTGCCTCTCCTTCCAGGGAAATCAGAGGTTAATGATTTTTGTCATATTGAGACTAACAGCTAACAATTGCTACAGTTGGCCTTTAGTTTTTTATTTGTCCTTTTGAGGTATTCAGAATAGGTGACAATGGCTTGCAGTTGAGAACATATGTAGAGAGACCCCTGTGGCTTATGGAAAAGTTGCTCCATGCTGGTTGGGTGTTTGAAAAAAAAAATACAACCAGAGCTCTTTTATGTTCCTCTCCTTAATGAATGCATGAATGTCAAAATGTACCAATGGCCCATTCAGGGGGCAAAGCCTAAGCAGCTCCTTCTTTAAGAACACATCCTGAGACATAAAATACATTTGCTTAACAAATTAAAATAATGAGATAATTCAATTAGTTTCTTAAAAAAAAAGAGAGAGAGAGAGACAGAGAGAGAAAGAAAAAAGGGTACATCAGGGGATTATTGTAATACAAGAACAGGTCATACAGCACAAAAGAGGAACAAACCAATTTGAAATAAGGTTAGAGTAGTAATGAAGGAATGTACATTGAATCATGGACTGTCATTGTAAAGATATTTACTTGAAACAATAAAATTGTACATCACAGATTCCCCTGTTCTGGCTCAGCCAGAGTAACATTTTGAATGGACAAGCTAATTTGAGAAAAAGTGTGAGATCTTTAAAAGAAAGGAGTTTTCTTCCTTCCCTGCATGTGTTTATGGCAAGAATCTTTCTGAATTTACATTGCACTGGTCAGGGGTCTCCATTATCAGTTTGCAGGTCTGAGAATTACAGCACAGTAAATCTTTCAACACCTGCAAACTCATTAAAGCCTGGATGGTAAAAGGTTTGGGGCTTTTTTGTGTTCATTTAATCTGATTTTTGTGAGGCCATCCTCACCAGTGACGGCAAATTTCCTTAATTCATGCAGGATGGAGAGGGTCAGGAGAGAGAGGATAGAAAAAAGGAAAAGGGATTTCAAAAAGCCAGAAGGACTTTCCTCAAGAGAAGCAAGAGGCAGCTGACTGTTTAATAAGCAAGTGTCAAATGCTTTCAAGGAGCACATAAGAAAGAAAGGCAGGAAGGAAAAAAAATTGATATCACAAATTTCATAGGAGGAAATGCAGTTAACATGGAGGTGTCTACAAATCAAACTTGTTTATTTGTGGCCCTGCTTTTTGCTGTCTGCCTGTACTACTTGTGGAAAGATACCCTACAGCTAAACGAAAAACGCTCCACTCGCACTCACTCGACTTCTAAATTAAAAACATTTTACAGGTTAGTAAATCTCCAGCTGAGGTGATGTAGCAAAGAACAGCTGTGAAGTAATTTTGATAATGATGAGAATAATAAGCACATGGCAAGGTTCAGGGCTTTGCTGTTGCAGCTTCAGTGCTCCTGAATAGATAAAAGTGATTAAATACTCCTGATTATCCCTGACCAATATGTAATGGATTTACAGCCCTTTCAATTAGTCAGTATTTGCTTAGGACTCATTATTTTGTCTTTGGTTAAGTAATCAGCCCAGAGACTCATGTTCTGTCTAATTCCTCTGAGCCAAGTGGGTACAGGGCACCTGACCTTTGAAATGGCCATAGCTGAGAGGCAGGAATAACCACTACTCCAGCAGAGACACTGGCTATTCCAGCTAATCCTGACCCCACAGGCCAGATCAATGCACCTTAGTTTGCTACTAATGTCCTTACATCAAAATGATGGTTTAGAAATGCGAATCTATCTCTCCCCCCTTTAGCTGTGCTGCTGGCAGAGCAGTTCGATAGTCTCTATCATAAATAAATCGGGTCCAGAATCATTACACTGCAACCAACAGCAGGAAATTTATAAAACCATGGAAATTTATAAAACTTCGGTAGAAGACGAGGCAGTTAATAACAGTTAGCATTTCAAGCCTTATCAGTAAGAAACAATTTCAAAGTGCAAGAAAGAAGAAAATTGATAATTTTACCAGTTTCCATCATTTTCCACACGAAGTAAACTAGGCTTACTAGGTTTTCTGTGGAATTGTGTTTTGATGCCTAAATGAAGCTATAATAGTCAACAGAACACCAACACAATACCAACAGCAAGCAGACAAATAAAAGCCCAAGGAAAGCACTGCTATTTCACATATTTAATCTCTCTCCCCCCAAATGTGAATATGGCTAGGTTTTAATATTTATGGCCTTGAAGAGAAGCAAAAGAGGCGCTTATTCTCTCTGTTACACAACTGAAAAATCAGGGAATCTGTAAGCCTTCTTTATTTCCTCACAAAAAAGTAACAATGGCAAGGTTGCAAGCTGCTGCTTTGACTTCTCTAACATCCACAGTGTATGTCAGCACATTCACACAGAGCAGGGCTCTCTCTTTCACCACATACATACAAAGTTTGTGTAAACAGAGGCCAGCAATAAAGAATTCATAAGTCCAAGCTTCATATATGTTAAAGCAAGAATCCCCCTTTTGCTGGCTGTAGGAAGATTTTGAATAGTTCAAAGCCAAAAATGTTCCATGCTAAGGTGTTCCATGCTAAGGCGCTGTACTCTCTCTCTTTTTCTTTCTATAGGGTGTGTATATATATACATCTATAGAGATTAGATAGATAGATAGATAGATAGATAGATTTCAGATTTGTCATGATTCCAAAACCTAAGGGAAAAAAATCTAATAAAAAAAAGCAACAAATCTTGAGAATCCTGAGACCTAATAATGGGCAAAAAATTATGGGGATAATTGATTTCTAATAGCAATGAATAAACCTCATTAGGCATATGAATAGAAATTTATTTTGGTTTTGGTCACCACTTACTGTGAGATGCTGGAAAAGCCACGCTCTCATGATATTTGTTGCTACTTTGGGGAAAATGCCTCTTTTCTTCTGACGCTTTTTGTCCTTGTCTGGGTCATCATCGTCTCCTGTACCAGGTGAGGCTACACTGTTGTCTAAACCATCACCTACAACAAAGAGAAAAACAAGAAGGAGGAGATGTTTAATGAACCAAATACAGAAGCCAAAAAATACCATTAATTGCCAAAACACTACCACAGTTTTGGGGGTTTTTATTTGTTAGATCAGGCACATACTGTTTCTCATTATATAAGAATGCCGATGCAAATATGTAAAAATTAGAAAACCGTGTCTCTCCAAATACTAATTTTGTGTTTCACACATGCATATATCATTAATTCAATTATAATTGTGTGCTTGACATAGTGCAGTAGCTCTTTTTCAATTATGGGATTCAATGTGGGAAAACCTGCCACAAGAAAACCCATTTACTGTAAATGCATCCCTACAACCATTCTGAATATGTACGTATAGGTAATCAAGTTAAATGTTCTGTAGTCTATATATTCGAGGCCCTCTGCAGAGGTGGCAGTAACCATGTCACTGTTCAGTGCACATAACACACTGTCAGATGAGCCCCTCCCAGCCACCATCACCTCCCAGCACACATACACACGCACTCACAAACACGTACACCTAGTCTGACCCTGCACACAGCATTTGCATGACATGAAAACTTCTACATCTCTGCATCAGTGGTTATTATCATTAAAATAAAAAGATGCACATCAAGGTAGAGCTCTCACTTAATCAGAACTTTCCATCAACATCCTTCTCTTCTGTGCTTTTCCCTGGCATTAATTGTGCATTAGCAAAAATCATTTACTTTTAACAGTCATAGTTATTTTTTCTTGCCCTCCAGCAAAAATGCCTTGAAAGCCTGCCTGGAGGGCATCTAAATTATGTATCTGAAAAACTCTTCTGGCAAGGCATTGCAGGACCCCTACTTTCTTAAAATTCATACGAGCACGTCTTCCTGTTTTTGGGAAGGCATCAATCAAGAGCAGCAATATATGCCATATTCCTACATTAATATTTGAACTAATAACTTTAAAAAAAGGAAAGAAACAAGATCCGACTTGTGGCATAATCAAATGCAAAATAAATGAAGAATACTGGGACAGCACTGAGACTTTATAGATTGCTGTGTTTTCCTTACACATCATTAGCCCGGAGCCACACGAAAGAGGAAAACAGAGAAGTGGAGAGTTTATGCTCCCTGCTGGTGTTTAAGAAGCCGAGGTCCTGGAAGGACATCTGGGAATTGTGCTGAGACGGTGGTTTTTGTAATTTAAGAATAGACATTCATTAGCAGTAAATGCCATAAATCCCATGCTAAGTAAAAACCTTGTCCAAGAAAGCCTAAAACAATAAACTCTGTGCTCAATGTAGCCTGAGCTAGACGCTCCATAGCTTCCTGAGGAATGCTATAGATTCATGAGCTAATTCCTATAGCCTCGTCTAGATCTGTAGTGCTACTAAACGAAATACATTGCTGCTACATACAGTCCATTTGCTTCAAAACTTGCATTTCAGCTCCATCTTCCCTCCCATGCCAGATCACCCTTCTTGTACTGTGTCCCCTCTGAAAAACCGACCCTTTTGGACTGAAGAGACAGAAAAAGCCACAGCAAAGAGCTGGCAGATTAATTTTATTGACATTTCCATTTTCACTGCAATGTGATACCCTCCATCACATGGAAGAGATGACCCTCACTATTTACAGACTGACAGGCCACTTCATTACAACCACCCTGCCCCAAGGCAGAGCAGCTCCTTTCCATCTGCCCAAACACCAGAGCAAGACCCTGAAGTCGCTGCTGTGTTTCTTGTGCCTTTTTTTTTTTTCTCTTCTATTAACGATAGAGAAAGGAGAGTCAAACCACAGTAAGGTAGTTGAAGAGATTATGGAAGCTCTGAACACTGTAACCAACTGTTTGCTTTTGCAATATATCAGTTATTTAGAAAGCACTCCTTTCTGCTGCCTTCTTCCCCCCCACGTATTCCACCCTACCCCTCTCTCACAGCCACGCGTGCGCGCGCACACACACACGCACACACACTTTCCACTATGCCAAGGAACTGCTGCAAGGCAAATTCTCACAAACACTAATGGCTTCTGACTGCTCCTTGGCAACCCCAGCATTTTAACCTGGGTGGATATGCTCTCCAAAATACAGACACTGGAGCTATCTCATCAGCTGTTCATGTGACACAGATGGAGAGTGGCTATTAGGAGCCAGGCAATGGGCCTTGGGGATCTGAGGTGCTGTACTGTAGCCTCAGGCAATTTTGAAAAGCAGTACCCGGAGATGGGGGGGAAAAATCTCTACTGAAAGTGCAAGTTTGAAGTCAGTCAGTCTGTTTGTCTGTCTGTCGTGCGGATAAAGATATCTTTGTCTCTTTATGTAAAAGTAATGTGTGTATGCACAGGATGTGTGGAGCTGTAAAACTTCTGCGCTGCACCATCCTTTCAAACCACAGAAACACCAGTTCACTCTCCCTATGGACAAATTCCTGTCTGTCTGCATATACTCTCCTATTTGTGAGCATCCTCAGCAGGAGTCTCCCACACCCTATATCACTGTTTGGACTTTTTGATGAGGTTGTTAATACCCTGGTTTGAAAAAGCTCATAGCAGCCCAAGAAAGAAAAGTTCAGCTAAAGCTCTCATTGCCTTCCCATCCTAATCAGCAGTTGAAATCATAAGAGTTGGTGCTTCCCTAATCTGTTCCATAACCTCACAAAAGAAAATTCAAATATTGTAACTCCAAATGATATCAGAAGAAAAATGCAGCAAGATTTGTTCCTACTGGTGTACGACAGGCCTGTTAATCTGTAATGTCATATCTTTAACAGGACTACAACCACTCTATTTAGTGGATGCAGCTTCTAGTGAGAAGAAATCATAGAAAAAGGCCATAACAGTCTTTTCCAAGATGAAATTATTTACTTCTGGTCCTAGATTTCTTTTTCCAAATAAATGTCAGTTGCTTTAAATGGAGTCAAGTAAAATATCAAAAGCGAAATAAAATGAACAGATATGATAGTCACTTTATGGCAGACTGGATTAACTATATTTTTCACTACTGTATGAAGGAATCAAAATTTAAATAATTTAAATCATCATTACAAGAGATTCTGCTTATATGAACCACTCATATCCTGGCTTAGATGTAATTTGTAAGAAGAGTAGAGTAAAATCCAGTTCTATGGCAATGGCAATTATACAAGCATAGTTATTCCAATTTTCTAGAGAAGAAATTAAGGTTTGGATTTTGGTCCACTCTCTCTCTCTTTCACACAGAACCAAAAAAATTAAGGGTGATTTTCTCCTGCTTCCCATACTGTTCACTCATTTATCTTGTGCAAAGAGTACGCATGATTGCAAAACCCTGTCGGTGTTGCAGGAAGGTGGAGAATTCTTAAGTGGCACTCTCTTTGTGGAGGTGTCAATGACTAGGCCTGTTTCGAGCCAGCAGAGAATTAGGCTTTTTACCCAGCTAGTTTAAGATTATAGCAATGCTGTGTAATAGTCTCAATAACCCCTATAAAAGATGGAAAGAGTTTACAAGAAACCTTGCAAAGGGACCCACCCGGGGTTCCTTAAAGACCTTCTCCTCTAGGGGAAGAGTTTGCTGAGGATGCTGAAGACACAAGTCTGCTTTACACTGAGGGAAGTTGGGGCTTCCACACTGCTCTATGCTCAGGCACTATCAGTGTGTGCTGAGGGTTTCCTTCCACAAGCTGAATTCCTTTGCATTGAAAGCAAAGGATATTACCTCTTCTTTAAAAAATATCAAATAAGCAGTCATAGCAGGGTTTCCATTGCACCAGAATTCCAGTTTGCTGCAAGCTGATTTCCTTGGACAGATAAGCTTGCAAAGCCCAGTGTTGACATAGCCAAGGACTTTTTGAGAAACAGAGACCAGTCCTATGTGAAGCCTGTCCAACCTTATTGTATCAATGAATTTTTCTTTGTTAGTCTCCCACACTACCAGTATTATCTCAACCCTAGTCATTGTGTTCTTCACAGAGTAAAAACCCAGCAACAGATGAAGCAAGTTTAGAAGTAGCCCATCTTGTCCTTTTACCACTTGTGAACAGGATGAATAGCAAATTCACAATCCATCAAGATGATAACTGAAAAGGATGACCCAGTCAGGCCAAAGCACAGAAGCCTGGTAACAGTCCAGATTCAAATTCTAGAAATAGTTTCTATTACCATCATAGCAAGTAGAGCAGTTAAAAAAGTGATTTCTGGAAAAGTACATTTCAGAACTCAGTGTTTGAGCTTCTTCATCATCAGAGGTCCCTTACAGCTTTAAGGTTTGTCACACTAAAGCAAAAGAGAGAACAGCAGGAGTATCTAAACTCGGGGGAAGACAAGCCACTTCACCATTTTTCTAAAAATAGTGGATGCAGTACGAAAAGCAAGTTAAAGGATTCTTTAAAGGAAAGCTGCAGTGCACTATGCTGATCTTAAGTGAACTGCTCTAATATTCCAGACTAACATTTTGATGGAGTGGAATATGTAGATATAAATGCAAAACAAAGAAGAAAATCTGCATGCAGCCTATATTCACAACTTGCAATTATTTATTTGTACTTCTAATGTGTCCATCTAGACACATAAATTATGCAAACCATTATTAATAAGGACATTCAGCTTAGTAATACAATCCATATCACCACCAGAGAAAAATCTTTAAAATCTGGTTAATTATCACTGCCAAAAAGCTGGAGAGAACTGTTTGAAGATGTTTTTGAAGATAAGATAGTATGCACTTAAAGGAAGACTAACAGAGAGAGAAGGTCAGCTCCAGAATCAAAGACCCTTCAGGAGAATCCTTATCTTCATTCCATCCGCTTAAAATTATCAGGCTTTTAGCCTTACAGCTCCAGTAGATCACAGATCTTTGAATGAAGTCCTGGCTGTGGATTGTTTTTTTCTTTCTCTTCCTCTTAATGATCCCTGTTCCAGGAAGTTAAGTTTCCTCACCCCACAGGAGCCATACTTATCTCCTGCATTTCTTGCCCAGGGAAACTAAGGCAGGTTATGACTGGCAAGTATGGGACTTTGAAAATCACAAACAGTCCAGGTGGG